AATTTCTGACAAATTGGTGTTGTAATTCTAAGATTAATATTTTATTTTTTGATTGACCATTGGCTTACATTACTATATAATATGTAGTAGTATAGCTTCACACCCAAATAATTGTATCTACACACTGCATTCATCAACAAGGTTCTAATCTAGCATCATACTTCAATAAATATAGAAGTAAAACTCTTACTATTGGTAGATGATAAGATAATGTTAAAAAAAAAACCCTAAAGACCTAAAGACTCCACAAAGAAACTATTACAAACAGTGCAATAAGATGGTAGTATATAAAACATATGTTGTGTCAATGAACTATAAGAAAGAGAAAATTTTAAAATCTCATTTATAATCACATCAAGAAAGTTAAATATATAAGAGCTTAACAAAGGAATGAAAGATGTATGCACTAAAAATTATAAGATATTATTAAATGGAGTAGAAAAAGATACAAGAAATGGAAAACTATCTGGTACTCAAGGATTGGAAAAATTCAGAATTGTTTATGGCCATCTTAACTAAAGCATTAAACTTAAAGCCTTAGCAAGTAACCACCTGGTTGTTCTGTTAACTTTGAAAATGTATTCAGTTGATGTATCTATATATATAGTATTTATATACTGATTCAATGCAATCCTTCAAAGATAAAAATGCCAACGGCACTCTTTAAGGAAATAGAACAAATAATACTAAGCTTGGTAATATAAGAGATTCTAAATAGTCTTGGTATTAGAGAAAACTCTAAGTAGTCAAAGCAATTCTGAGAGAAATAAGAAGTAAAATGAAGTATCATATTCCCTGACTTCAAACTATACTACAAAGCAACAGTAATAAAAACAGTATAATTTGGGCATAAGAACAGACATACTGACCATTAGAATAAAATTGAGAACTAGAAATAAACCCACACATACATGTACCAGTAATATAGGACAAAGAAGCCAAATACATATACAACAGAGTAACAAATGGTGTAGGGAAAATTGAATTGTCATATGCAAAGGAATAGGAAACTAGATCATTTAACAACACTCACAAAAATTAATTTGAAATGGATCAAAAATTTATATTTAAGAACTGAAACCACAAAATCATAGAAGAAAACACAGATTATATACTTTCTTTGACAATGGTTTTAGAAATGACTTTGGACTCTCAACTCCAGTGGCAAGGGAAACAAAAGTAAAAATGAAAAATAGGGGCTACAGGCCCTCCCTGGTGGCGCAGCGGGTTAAAGCACAGCACTGAGAATCTGAGGCCACTTCCGCATGAGTTCGATTCCCGCCTGCTGCCTGCCCCGGAGGAGACCACATGGCAAGCCAGACCTCTCCTGACCTGCCCGCTGCTCCCCTCAGCAGTGTACTTCGTCGATCTGCCTGTTCTGCTCCCCACTCTGTCTCTGGTGAAGCCTCTCACCGCCCCTGAGCCTCTGGCCTGTACCCCAGTTCTGTATGAATAAATAAATAAATCTTTAAAAAAAAAAGGGGGGGGGGCTACAAAAAAGTAAAATAGCTTTTGAACAACTTAAGAAACTACCAAAAAACCAAAATAGCAATCTACTGATTATGAAGTTATTTTCACACTATGCACCCAATAAGAGATTAATATAAAAAAATAATACATTTAGGGCCCTCCCTGGTGGCGCAGCGGGTTAAAGCACAGCACTGAGAATCTAAAGCTGCTTCGGCATGAGTTTGATTCCCGCCTGCCCCGGAGGTGACCACATGGCGTGGCAGACCTCTCCTGACCCGCCCACTGCTCCCCTCAGCAGTGTACTTCGTCAATCTGCCTGTTCTGTTCCCCACTCTGTCTCTGGTGAAGCCTCTCACCGCCCCTGTGCCTCTTGCCTGCACCCAGTTCTGTATGCACAAATAAACAAATCTTTAAAAATAATAATAATAATACATTTATATAACTGAGATTGATCTTAAGCATGAGTTTACCAGTGAACAGTTGAAACTTATTCTTTTCCATTCACATAAAAGCTGTTTCAACAAAGACTTATCCAATGCTTCTGAAGCCAAGGAATGAAGGAAAAGGTGATTTGGGCCTTCAGGGAATATTTGGCAATGTCCAGAAACATTTTTGGTTGCCATGACTGGATAGTGTTGTTGCCATGTAGTGGGTAGAAGCCAGGGATGTTGCTAAACATCCTACAATGCACAGGACAGCCCCCACAACAAAGAATGACCTGGCCCCAAATGTCAATAGTAACAAGACTGAAAAACCCGCTTGTAACCCAATGCTTTAAATATAACCTAGTCATAATAGTGAAATCAAGAAGTTACTTTCATTTTCATTAATGCCAATTTTTATAAAGGAAATTTGAAAAATAGGCTCTGCCTAACATAAGATATGAGAGAGCTGGGTAGAGAATGACACATTTGTGATTTGGAAAAAAAAAATATTTTTATTCAAATGCAAGCATTCACACACAAAAGAAATCACATACAATTTTCAGTGAACAACCAGAAAATTAGTCTTATGCTGAGAAAAATGAGGAACAAATGGCTACAATTATATCACAAATGTCAAACTAGTATCAAGATTTTGTTCTTCAAACATATGAATATAAGCTCTGTAAGTCAGTCATCTTGTTAGCAGCTACCATGACAGCCAAAAGATGAATGCACTTATTTGTATGGATTTATCAGAATTTTTAGTTTCCCTATTGATAGGGAATTTTTAAAAATTAAAGAATGATGATTGGAGGGTAATCCTGTGGCCTGGGAGATATTAAAGTATTCTCAAACCTTTAATTCTAACCTACCTTCTCTTCTGCCTTGTCTGATATATCCCCTTGCACTTTGTAGGGACAGAATGACATTTGTTGCGGTAATCACTCTGGTTTAAACTTGAGATACTAGCTAACATTTTCTAAGCATTTGCTAGTGGTCCTCTCAAAAAGTAGTATAAAATGGTGAAATGGACAAGAGTTTTTTCAAAATAAGAACCCAACACATGGTGAATAGTGCTCAATAAAAATGTATAGGTGAATGAATTTATATGTGCTATATATAACAAACCTAGATGGGTTTCTTTGAACTTAGATTTTAGAGATACTTTTTCATAAATACCTATCATTTTGCAAATGAATCTGTAAGCTCTCCATTGTTTATGTTGGTTTCACCTTCTTTTTGGCTTCCTTTTGCTTTCTAAAAATGAGTCAATTGTGATAACTATAGTAACTATTTTACTATCCCAATGGAAATAAATATACAGGGCCAAAAAAAAAAAAAAAAAAGATGAGGAAAGAAGCCTGAATGGGGCAGATTTGCACTCTCAGTTTAAACCCACTCTGGCTATATGGTAATAACTTTCTTCTTTAGGTAAAACATTTTAAATCTGAGTTTATTTTGAAGAAAATAAATCTTTGCAAAAAGTGAATTAGCTATCAACTCCCTCTTCCAGTTTCTGATAAATTACATTACAAATTTCCTCAAGGATTATTATGTACTAGTCACTTAAACAGGTTTGGAGCAACAACTCTAGAAACGTCTCAACTCTCAGGTTCAGCCTACTTGCATGAATGAAGAGTGTAGGGAAGTACAGAAAAAGTCAATGAGCCAAGTCATTGCATCTAAGTCATTGCTTTGGAATTAATTGAGAAATAAAATTGGGAAAGAAAAGTAAAAAAGAAGAGAATGAGCAATGAGGATCACCTTAAGAGGGAAGTGTCATAGGAGGGCATGAAAGTCAACCATATAATACAACCATTTAACATTACCTTCAATACACAACAATAGCAATAAGTAAGCATTTAACTTAATTATTTAAAATACTGAGTTGTGCTTCCAACATATTCTTCCAAGTCTGCTCCAGCTCTTTTTCAGCAATTTTTGTTCAAAAAATATCCTTTCAAAAAAAGAAATTTTTTAAATCCAGTTCACATAAGGGAATATGATATATGAAATTTCCAAATACACTTTAGGCAGCAATACCTACTGCATATCTACTTGCATCTCAGGCTCTTAACAAGCTGCAGACAACCCTAAGTCTGAGACTCATTATTATGCTTCTGGCAAATTTTTACTAAGTCCCTTTCCTCCCCAAACACACAAACCTTAAACCTCTTACAAATATGCAAACCCCACCCTTTCCAAAGAGTGAGTAGTAGTCAACAGACTGGTTCATCTCTTACACTGTGACTTCATGCTAGAGGGTTTGTTTATTTGATCTCTAGAAGGTAACTATAGATGTGATAGCAACTTAGAGATACTGAAATCTTTCAATAGGGTCTCACTCAAAGGGATAAAAATCAGTCCTCCTAGGGAGAAGGGAGTTACCTAGTCAATGCCATGTCTTCACCATGCCTCCAACAGACTCACATAGTCTGTGGACACTAGAATGACTGAATAACCCATTTGCCTGTTGGACTCCCTAGCAACTGAGGGGTCACCTGGCAATTAGGTGTGTTGGATCTGTTTAACTCACAGTGCACCAGCAACAATACTTATTGAAAGCCTGCCATCTGGTAGGGACCATGTAAGGCATTTACATGAATTAACTTATTTAATTCCCACGAAACACCTCATGAGGGGGACACCAGTGTCCCCATTTTATAAATAGGCAAGTGAGGTTATGTTGAGTACGGTTAGTCAGAGGAGTTGGAGATAGCTCTTCTGATTCTAGTAGTAGAGTATAATCCCTGTATATCCACCACACTGCTTCCTTCCTTAAATCCATCATCTCTGGACAACCTGCCAGTACTTAAGCATCCAAAGTTCTGGGCATCTGGCGATGTGACCCTGGAGGCCTCAGCCTCCCAGAATGAAAATGAGGTTTTCCTTTCAAAGGCCAGCTTCCCCTGCTCCTGTAGTATCGGGTTCTGCCTGTTAAGGACGACTGACCCAGCTCCCCGCCCAAGGGCTGGTGGAGACCCAGCGAAGGAAAAGCAGCGAGAAGCGCGGGGCGTGAGCCACCTCCCTAGCCGCGTCCTGCCGGCGCAGAGCGGGAGGGGAAGGGTGCGGGGCGGGGCTCGGGTCCGGCAGCCGCAGGGAGCAGGAGCCGGCAGCTGGAAGCAGCCGCCGCCCGCGCTGTGCGGGGCGAGGCGAACCGAGGCAGGGCGGGGCCGAACGCGACGGGAAGGAAAGGCCGAGCGATCTGGGAGCCTCGTCGAGCCCGCCTGGCTGCAGCAGCCGCTCACCGAACGCAGCTATGGGGCTGGAGACTGAGAAGGCGGACGTCCAGCTCTTCATGGACGATGACTCCTACAGCCGGCACAGCGGCGTGGATTACGCCGACCCAGAGAAGTTTGTGGACTTGGGCCAGGATCGTGATCCCCACAGACTCAACTCGCATCTCAAGGTGAAGTTTGCGCGGGTGGTGGCCTGGGCCTGAAAACTGGTCCAACCCTGTGCCATGATCTAGGGGCGAGGGTACCCCCATCTGTTCCTATCCACTGCTCCAAACTGTATCCTCACCATTGGATCAGCCCCGCAGGGTCCAGAAACTGAACCTCCTCCACGGAGTCCCTGCGTAGCTAGAAATTCTTACTCAAATTTCTGGGCACCTACCAAGACCTTAAGAGAAGGTGAAACATACAAATCTCTCCTTCTTGATGACCCTGTCCCTATGGTTCCTGATTGTTTTCGGGGTGCAGGTTAGGTTGGGGATCCTGGAATGTTATTTCCCGCAGGTGGGCTTTGAGGATGTGATTGCAGAGCCTGTGACAACTCACTCGTTTGACAAAGTGTGGATCTGCAGCCATGCCCTTTTTGAAATCAGCAAATACGTGATGTACAAGTTCCTGACTGTGTTCCTGGCTATCCCCCTGGCCTTTGCTGCAGGAATTCTCTTTGCCACTCTCAGCTGTCTGCACATCTGGTGAGAAGGGGGCCATGGGGGTGGGTCTGGATTTTTAAAACATGGGAATATTCTCTGACACCTGTGCCATCCCTGACTGCTAGGCTAGCTTTTAGGGGGCAGGTGGAAGAATGTACATCAGTTCCTTACACAGGAAGATCCTTGAAAGGCAGTGTGCTTTGTTTAGATCATAGACGAGGGTAGGGGCTTAAACAGAACAAGGAATAGTCTTCTGTCCTAGAGTGTGTTATTTTCCTTCCCATGCTACGACCCAGTTGACTGTGGAGGTGGAGACCCGGAGGCCATGCTTCCTGCCATAGGCTGCTGGCTCATAGGGTCCTGTTATGACTTGTGCCTGTGGTTCTGGGCACGGCTCTTATTTCTTTCATCACCTTTTATTCAGTCACTGCCTGTGCTTGGGGAAAAACAAAAATGATCTCTGAGCAGAATGCCAGTGACAATAGAGATGGACAAGGATGTCAAACCTGATTAAGCAGTTCTAGAGAGGGGACACTCCAATCCTTTCACTGGCAAATGGCAAGTGTGGGACCAGAGGAGATGCCAGCATGTGCAATTATGGTAAGGAGCCCCCAGCACAAATGAATGAAAACTCAAGCTGCAGGATAAATGAAGTGAGAAGTCTCCAAATACTCTTTCGCCTATATGACACGAATGGAGGTGGCATCGGTTAAAGGCAATAAATATAGAAACCTACTGGACATTGATAGGATGTAATGAGTAACTTTATCCACACTCAAAATGTATCCTAAAACCTTGGAGAACATTTTAAGCATACATTTTTAAAGAAAAATGACATATTTTACCAAGAAGTGTTGTTTTAAAAGATACCCACCTTATTCTAAGAGAACCAACATTCAAATCATCCCCATTATCCCAACGCCTGAGGTTAGTCCTAATGAAACCTATAACCCAGATGTTTTCATGTCTTTCTTAAGCACTTTGTATGGTGTTGCCATGCCTAGCCTATGCTGTGTTCCTTTTAGAAATTAGGAAAGTTTTTTTCCATTTCCCTTTACCATGTGATTTTTTTTTTAAGTTATCTAGTTTTAACCAAGAGAATTTATTGAGTACCTACTTTATTCTGGGCAACAAGCCCAGGATGAAGAAAATAAAACATCTACCTTCAGCTTACTCACTAGTAGGGCATAAAGCTTGTATGGAATTGGAAGCGGAGGAAAATTTAATTAAATACATTGAGGATGATGGCATTGAGGAAGGAAGGGCCTTATAGGAAGAATCCTAAGAATAAAAAAAGGATTTTTAAAAACCAAATAAATAAAAGATAAACAATATCAACTGAGTTTGATCACAAAAGATTGTAAACAACTAAAAGTGGTGAAAGACTGTCAGGAAAACGAAAATCTTTAACTTTGTACATGAGCAGATTCACAATGTTGAGATGTACAGGTAACTCATATTTTGACAGTTGTACATGAACTGTTTAAAAGATGCCCAAATCAGTGCTTAAATTGTTGGCTTCTCAATGAAATAAAAACGTTCATCAACTTTTCCACTTTCAAAAATATGAAAAACTGAGTGAGTGACGACATAGCATATTGTGAAATGTTTGAAATATTGTGCGCCATTTTTATAGTCAACAAATTTAGGCTCTCCTACAGCTCTTGTGGAAGAATTGAAAGCAACATGTTTCTCATTTACTAAGTGGTGGAAACATATAAGTAAAATTACATTTAACCAAATGATGCTTCTGTCCACCTGGCTTTCCTGAGAGTGGGAGGTGTTTTTTGTGTAGTGCTTCCAATGATGAATCATCAAACCACTTCTTTCTCAGCCACATAAAATGTATTATTTCACTTCAGCTTGTTTTTCAAATTACATTTATGGGGACGTTAATATTTAACTGTCACACATTTGTCATTAGGCAATTGTGATTGCAAGTAGCTTCAAATAAACAAACAAAACAAGCTTAAAAGTTGGCATACCTTGATAAAATAGATTATTATTATGGACTATATTCCCAGGACTCAATTAAGACTCTGTCAATGAAAAACTGTAAAGAAAAGCAAAACCATTTGAATAAGCTGTTTGTTTAATTCCTTCCTCATGCCACCCCTCCTTTCCACCTTCCTTTTCTCCCACCTACCCTCCTCTCCTTTTATTGTTTTACCAAAAGACTAGTAACAAAAGCTACGAAAATATGTAGTATTAGATATTGTAAACACATCCTATAAAGACATCAGATCTAATTTTAGATTCTTTAAACAAGTAAATAACAACAACAAAATCACCCATGATCAGAAGTTTAGGAACTAGTGAATTCTTTGATTACATTCTCTGATCAGAATGAGATGATTACTCTGGCAACTGCAGGTTATTGGTCATAAGTGATCATACCATAGAAATCATAAGGGGTAATAATAGCTCCCTTACCCCTTATTTTTGCTCAAATACAGTTCAAATTGATGGTCTAACAATGGAAAATGTAGTGGAAGCTGTCTGTCTCGTTTTTCAGGAGATGTGTTAATCCAGCAAAATGCTATGACAATGCAATCTTCATGATACTATAGTTAATACAAAATTAAACAAAAAGTTTCTGTTTTAAGGACTTTATTATTCAGCAGGGGAATATATAATCTCATAAATAATAAGATTTATTTTAAAAAACACTTAGTTGGCCACCTTAAACCTCAAACAAGTTTTGGGTCATTCCAAATTGCCTGAAGTTTCAAAAGGAAAACTATTCAAAATGCTGAGAACACAGTTTATTTCATAAAAGAGAATCACTGGAACCTCTGATCTAAAGTGGGAAAATAACTTAAATAATAGCAAATTTAAAAGTACTATGAATTGAAGTCCTCAAATGTGAACACCCCACTTTATAAAACTAAAAAAAAAAATCTGCATTTGTCCTGTGTTTAGTTCCTTTTTAAGAATCAGATATCTAAGAGATTATAGGGATAGAAAAATTTTAGTCTAAGGAAGAGTAAAAAGTACAATATCTTCGGCCCTCCCTGGTGGCACAACGGGTTAAAGCACAGCACTAAGAAGCTAAAGCCACTTCAGCATGAGTTTGATTCCCGCCTGCCCCGGAGGTGACCACATGGCGCGGCAGACCTCTCCTGACCCGCCCACTGCTCCCCTCAGCAGTGTACTTCGTGATCTGCCTGTTCTGCTCCCCACTCTGTCTCTGGTGAAGCCTCCCGCCACCCCTTAGCCTCTGGCCTGTACCCCAGTTCTGTAAGCACAAATAAATAAATCTTTAAAAAAAAAAAAGTACAATATATTCTAGGTGAAGTAGATTTGGTTAGGAAGTCTTCTAATCTTAACTTCAGTCTTGTGGTGCATCGATCTGAATTAGTTATAATTGTCATTATGTATTTTGAGTTCAAAATAGCTATATTTATTATTTATTATAATAATAGCATGCGGACATGTCAATGGTTCATAATAAAGTATTAATCCTGATAACCAGTTTATAAAATGTCTTGTTCTTACTTTAATTTGTAGTAATATGCCCAAGACCGCATCATAGGAGAAACATAATGGAATAAGGAGTGAAAATTTCAGGTTTCTTTTCAAATGGTTAGCTCTAAAACACCTAGTAATTAATTTTCTTAAAAATTGTTTCGGCCCTCTCTGGTGGCACAACGGGTTAGGATGCAGCACTGCAAGCTGGCTATTCAGTGTAAGTTGATCACCGCCCGGGAGATGATTGATCCACATGACGTGGCAGATCACTCCCGACCAGCCCGCTGTTCCCCTCAGCAGTGTGCTTTGTCCACCTGCCTGTTCTGCTCCCACTCTCTCTGGTGAAGTCTCTCACCGCCTCTGCAACTCTGGCTTGTAACCTAGCTCTGTATGAATAAGTAAATCTTTTTTAAAATTTGTTTCAAGTCTTAAAAACTTGGAAGACAACACAAAATAAATATAACTTGTGTAGACAGTCAATAGAAGTAATTCAGTATTCTAAAAATATTATTTTAATCACACAATTGCCTGTCTTCCCAGCATTTGAGGCTAGAAGGTACTTCAGACCTTTATTTAAGTCACATTTTAATGGCAAACCCAAAAATCAACCTTACTTCCATTTATGCACCCAGTTAATAATAAAAATTTCATGAAGACAACCGTGATGCCTGAGAACTCCCAAATACTGTTGAGTTTAAAGAGTACTACTACCACAATGGAGAGCATTATTCATAGGGTTACACAGAAAATTTATGAGCCTGGGCAATATGAAAATATGCTTTCATATTAAGAAAAGACATACAGAGAAACTAACTTCAAGATATTCTAACTGCCCTTGTCTTAACAGTTCTAACATAATTGCAGGGCTATTTATTTATATATTTCTCAACTATACCACACAGCTCTTTTCAAAATGTGTGTAATTACTATGAAAAATTAATCATTTAAAGTACAACAGAATGCCAAATTCACTTCAGATTAAACAATTGCTAAGGGTAAAGTATACCCTCACTGGAGCTTTTATTCTACTAGAAATGACAAAAATATAACCATCTGTTTATAATAGGGTTTGGTAAATTTAGACTAAGGAGATTGCTTCAGTATTTTGGGAACACAAAACAACATATACCCAGTCTAGTCCTAGGGGAAGGGAAGTGGAATGAGACAACAGGAAAAGTTATCAGGAAGTAGAACGTTAATACTTAAGAGCAGACATCAGATAGATAACTTACTCTTCTATATATTTTTGCTTCACTGTCTCAGATAACATGCCACCAACATAAAGACCATTAATATTTACCATTTATATACCTGCCAATTTTTGAATCAACATATCTTCTATGCATCTTCTCACTATGTAGATAAAATTTACTTCAAATGTTCAACCAAATTTAGGTGACTTAGATCATTATTCTATCTTTTCATGCACGAGCAATAGTGGTCTTATTTGATAATGGAATAATCGTTACAAATCTCTTCCTTCGTCCCAGGATTGTAATGCCTTTTGTAAAGACCTGCCTAATGATCCTGCCTTCAGTACAGACAATATGGAAGAGTGTGACAGATGTTGTCCTTGCCCCACTGTGCACCAGTGTAGGACGCAGCTTCTCTTCCATCAGCCTGCAACTGAGCCGAGACTGAACACTTGGACCCCAGGTCTAGAGATTTGGATACTGTAATACTTTTGTGTTGTTATGTAAAAGCACTACTGATATGTTCTACTCCCAACTGTTCTAATAAAGAAAACTATTAAGATGGGCAACCACCTTTAGAAGTGTTTATTGGCAGATATTTTCCAATAACGCTTTTCTAGTAATAACCAAGGATTTTATACTTAGCATTATAACCAGAATTACACAGTAGGTTGGAAACACTTCATTTTAAAGGCCATTTTTGTTTTAGTACAAAAGTCAATACTTCATAATGAGCAAAGATATTTTCCTTAAATAGTACAGTAGTTTCGTGCACACTAGTTCAGAAAGAATGAGACTTTTTATTTTTTTACTCTGGAAGTAATATCTTTACACTAACTTTGCAGATAAAGACATAGGGAGGAATATTAAAGACAAGAAGTGCCAAGATCCAAGAAATTGTAGTACCAAAAGTATACAGTGGTGATGGGACTATCAAATATTATAAAATAAATAAATGTGAAACTAGAGTCTGAAAAATTGTGTTCTTTAAATAAGGCATTGTTAACCTACAGGTCTATTTAACAAGATGTTTCATTTTACTGTATATTTTGTACTTTAATATAAATGTTGCTTTAACCTATTGCTTTAATGCACTTTTATTATATTCGTTATTTTGTTAAACTAATGTATCTCCCTCAAGGAATTTTATTGGGATGATTGCACTGTCTTGATATAATATGCATATATGTCCTGAGAATAGAATGTAAAAAGGTGTATACAAGGATATTTCCAAATGTTTCCAAGCAATGTCCTGAACTTATTTTTATCTTACATTTAAAATAAGATAGATATGATCATAAAATAATACAAATCTAACTGATACTTTGTCTAGGAGATGCTTGCTCTCTGTATTGTTAGCAACACCTGTATTTTGCATTCATATTTATGTTTCACTCTCCTTAAAGTAATATTGGTGCTACTTAATAACATTTTACTTAATAACATACAATAAGGCTATTTCTAAAACTTTACTACAATTCCAACTACAGTGATTCATCAACAGAAATGTATGAGGTTGTCAAGTTGTTGGATTCACACTACTGATATATATACATAATTTAAAACTAATAGCTACAAATGTATAAGATATTATCTATTATCTAACTTGGGATTTGTTATATCATGGAAAATCATTCTTACAGTTTTGAAGGTCAGTCTTATTTAATGTTATAAATCACTTTGTTTAAAAATAATCTCATTAGTCCAAGATGAGGCATGTATAAAAGATGTCTATGTCAGTGGTTACTCTAATTCACATATATTGTAAAATTGTGTGTTAAAATTTAGTATTAATACAGAACATTAATTAACATTCCTTTGGATGTCTTCATGGAAGAAAAATTCGTATTTAATAAAAATTAATTGTATTATTTCAAATTGACAGAGCTGGTGAATATAAAGGATGATTGAACTGGAATACTCCAGGGGACCAAATAATGAATGCTTAAAGTTTGAAATATCCTTTAGATACTACAAAAGAGAAAACTCTCATCTTCATTATCTTAAAGCATTACCACTCAATTGTATAGATTTCATTATGATAGTTACCAAGTTATACCAGTCTCATGACTTTATAATTATATTTTACATTTAGTGTTTTTTAAAAAATATTTTGATTTATTGACTGACCAAAATATTGACTAATAAACTGTCTACTTAAATCAGAAACTTTTAACTTTTTAAATAGTTATTGGCAAGTTTTAAAGGCAAAATATATAGACATAATCATATTGCAAACCTATTAACTTTTAATAAGTGATACATATACTTTAACTATTTCTGCAGAGCACTGATTACTTTCAAAATGAATTTTTATTGAGCTTTGTCATTAACTGAAATTTTAGACCACACTGGCCTGGGTTTCAGGTGCAAAATGATAGCTCTTTTATTTGGGAATGTGGAAAAGGTAGGTAAATGAGACTTTCTCAATATCCAGAATAAACCTGAAAATTCATAAAATGTGTCCATTGGTTTTATTGCATTAGATATTAAACTGGTCAATAAGAAACTATTTCAAGTTTTTACCTATTAAAAACTCACTGTGTGTGTGTGTGTGTGTGTGTTATTTATTCAGGGATATATTTGTGATTAAAATATGTAATTGGTAATTTAATTTTTTTCTCAAAACTTAGATTCCCTATAAATTTTTCTGCCCTTTGATAAATAGAATGAGATAGTTTATTCACAAATCTTCTATACTTCATCCTTTTTCATGCAATAAAGTCTCTTCTTGTTAACCCCAAATAAACTGATATTTCTGTTTTCAATTTGTTAAATAAGAAAATCAAACAATATAAATCACATGTAGTAGGATACCAACATTTGAAGCCAAACCAAAGTCGAAAATTATTTTTGGAAAATTAATAGGTGAAGAATAGTTGCTGATATTGGCATAGATTTTCTTGTTTGTTAATCTGGAATTATGACCATCATTTAATAATGAACCAGGTGTTCAGATTTCTAAATTTTTTATAGTTTCAAATAACTTAAAAAATTCCTAGTCACATGTCATTAATTTATTTATATATCTTTCTTAGGAAATTTGGCATGGAGTGAAATGAGCATTGCATCTGGGTTTTAGTCTCAGCGCTGCCATTACTGAAATAAATTAGCTCATTCAAATGGTTTAATCCCAGAGTCTCAATTTTCTTATCTTTAATGAAAGTATTAAGCTAAAAGACTTCAGAGGTGGGGGGTGGGCAGAACAGGCAGATCAACGAAGTACACTGCTGAGGAGAGCAGCAGGTGGGTCAAGAGAGGTCTGCCACGCCATGTGGTCACCTCCGGGGAAGGCGGGAATCGAACTCATGCAGAAGCGGCTTTAGATTCTCAGTGCTGTGCTTTAACCCGCTGCGCCACCAGGGAGGGCCCTGTTGTATTTTTTAAATCCTATTTGTGCCTACTCCTTGACTTCTCTCTCCCTACCATGTCTGAAATAACACTATCGAAACTGTCACTTCTTGATGCTTAAGTAAAACATATTTTCGGGTGGGGTAACATTTAAACCTATCTGTAGGTATCTATTCAATGTGACTGGACAGATCTAAAGAGGGGATATTGAAAACAATGTAAGGGGTCTGAGCTTGAGGGTCTTAAACTAAATCCCTCAAGGGTACCACACTGATTTAAAGACAGGTAACCAAAGAGATATATAGTACAGAAGAGGAAAAACAGATTTTAAACACTGACAGTCTTTCCTCTTCACACTTCATTATGGACCCCTATCCCAAACCCCTCTTGAAAAGGGGCAATGAAAATTCAACAGGATGAAGGGAGTTGAAGTAAGTTTAAGACCTTTTATTCTCTCTACAAAGAAAGTTGCCTGTGTCTTAATGAAGGAAAGGGACTTTGGGATATGAGAGCTGTGCTAGAGCCAGTCATCTTAAAGACCATGCAGAAGGGCAAATGTTAATGTGAAAACTAAACTGCAACTTGTGATCTGTCTCTGATTCTCCTTGTCTCTCCGTGCTCTTGACTTGCAATGGAACTGTGACAAAGAAAGAAGACTGTGCAGCAGCCAGAGAAATCACTTCAACGATTATCCAAAAATAGGACAGAGACACATAGCTGCCTGCACTTGGACGTGTTAGGTCACTCAGCTTGGCTGCACTGCTGGAGAAGTCATTTTGCCTTTGTAGGAAAAGGTAGGGGTGGAGAGTGCAGAGAGAAAGGAAGAGACATGACTCAGAGTGGGAAACAGCACGTAACTAAGGGCAAATATTTCTCCCAAATATAAATGAATCAGGAAGCGATCACAGCAACAGGATCTTAGGAGCATTCTCTTCTTTCTCTGCCTCAGAATAAATAGTCTGTTATAGAGCACCTGCCAGTAACAAAAGGGTAGAGAAGGGCAATGAGCAGGACCTGAATGGCATACTGGTTCCAGTCAACTGCTGTTTCAGCTAACTGGGACAGTGAAACAAGGAGTCAATTAAACACACTATTTCCCAGTGAAGCTAGTGGCAAGAGTTAAGGAGTCAATTGGAAATCTGCACAGATAGCACACTATTTCCCAGTGAAGCTAGTGGCAAGAATTAATATACTTCTTTAATAAAAAGGAAACTGGTGGAAATCTCACCTGTATTTTATCAGTGGGAAAATTTTGATCCCTGGTACAAACAATGACATCAGCATTTGTTGAACATATTTTACCTGCAAAACATTTATTTAATCTGCAACATAACCCTATGATGTGGATTCTGTGATCATTCTCCACTTTTTAGAAGAGGAAACTGATGCTCTGTAATTGAGGAATTTTCTCAAGATCACACTGGGAGCCAGGATTTGAGCCAAGAGGATCTGACACCAGACTCCAGGCTCTTAATCTAGAAATGATATGCGACTTCTAGGATGTGTGCATGGCTGTTCTAATAACTAGGTTTCCCTTCCAACAAAATCTTTTTCATTCAGTCTGAGCAAGCATTCCTGCTCTGACAAGCACCTTTTTCTCCTTTCTCCTATTGCTTGAGTCAGTTACAAGTCCACAGCAGTTAGAGCCCCTAGTAGGCTGGTACCCTGTCCCTCTTCACTTTACCTTCTAGTCCCTGAGTCCTGCCCCATTCCTATACTTTTCTTTCCTGGCACACCCGTTCCTTCCTTTAATGATTTGTGCTCTAAGTCCTGCACTCTAGTTTAGATGTGAAAAACATTTTCCAAATGCCATTATTCCCATCTTTGGTAAAATTCACTATCTTTAACAAAACATTCCTTAATTTGTACTAAAAGCATAATGATGATTTCTCCTCACTACTGAACACCTTGAGACAGAATAGTTTAATAATTATAGTAATACTTTTTATTTAGGTTAAGCATATATTTTTCAGGAGCATATATTTTTTCACAATGTATGCAAACAAGAAGAAATTGTAAAACATTTTTCCTTGGAAGAATCTTGGGAATGGTAAGCATTAATCTACTATGATAGATTAGATAGAGACATGATAAATAGGAATTTAATTTAAAATTTCTATGATTGTATGGTTCTTAGAGTTAAAGAAATATTCAGAATTGGAAAGGAAAATACCCTCAGCCTTAAAATCTGAAATTAATTTTGCCCAGTATGAGAGCAAGGAAGGATAGGTTTGAACTACTTTGGATCCACTCCTCAGAACTGTTCTGTCTTCTTATAAAGTTAGAAGGCTGGTGTTCCCACAACTCTTACCACTGGCCAATATACCCTTTGGGTGTGGCTAATGGGAAAGTTTAATATAGCTCCAGCCCTTTCATAGCAAAAAAAAAAAAAAATCATCTTGGCTGTGGCTCAGAATATAATTCTTGATTCACATTCCAAGAAGCCTTCAGTTTACAGAAATGGAAAGAACTGCCAGTTCCCTGCAAGCAAGTTGGCCAACTTAGCTTGTAGGGTTCCCCTTTAAATGATGCTTCCTTCGATTTGCTTACAAATATTTCTTTAATAGTATGTTATTTCCTCTTGTAAAGTTGGGATTCCCTGTAAGTCATCCAGGCTGCAGTTCTGCTCCTCTCTCCATGATGCAAAGGCCCTTTCATGCATGTATAGGGGGAGTGATGGGAAGCAGCTCTCCATTCATAGAGAAAGTGGGAGTGGTATTTTCTGGCATATGTATTAGCTGGCACAACTTCTGCCTATTAAAAGGCTTTCAGAAAACGTGCAAGTTTCTAGTAGGTCACTTATTCTCAAAGTTTAATGTGCATGCAAATAACCTGGCAATCTTGTTAAAATGCAGGTGTAGATTCAGTAAATCTGAATTCTAATTCTGATTTCTCGCAAGTTCCTAGGCAATGCTGATACTAATCTGTTCCTAAATCACACTAAGAGGCAAAGACCTAGTAAGTAGTTTGAATGAGACATGGAAAGAGGTGAGATGAAGCAGCTTCAGACAGAAAAAGAAAATCAAAAGATCATTTGCTTGGTCTTATGAAAAGAATTCTATAACCTGTCCCATAACTATTATCTACTACAATTTCTTTAAAACACAATCATACCCCTCTAAAGTAAACTGAGTTAATTCAAATCAAAGCTAGCAGAGCAGAATTAAATCCATCCTCTATTATTTACAAAAGCTAATTTTGCAATCACAGATTTTCTCTGGAATTAGTAAAAAAAAAAATCATGTAATTATATAAGAAAACATGAGCCCTCCTTAGTGGCACAGTGGGTTTCAGTACAGCACTGCAAGCTAACCACAGTCACTTCAGCCACAGAGGTGACTCATGTGGCCCAACAGACCTCTCTTGTCTTGCCTACTGCTCCCCTCAGCAGTGTACTTTGTTGATCTGCCTGTTCTGTTCCCCACTCTATCTCTGATGCATCCTGTCATGGCTCCTGCACCTCTGGCCTGTACCCCAGTTCTGTATGCATAAATAAATAAATCTTTAAAAAATAAAAAAAAAGTGATTTAAGTTTAAAAAAAGAAAAGAAAGTTCACTATAAAGACCAGACACTTTATGGATATGGAGCTATGTATGCTTTCTATATATATACATATACATATATTTTATGATTAAACATCACTGCCTTAAAGGGAGTAGTGTAGAGATAAATTTCCTTCAGGTAAAAGAAGCTTCTGGTAAATAGTTTATTTAATAGGGAAAGGGTCAAAAGGAAAGAGGGTTTCCTCTGTTAAATAATGGAGCTCTTTTTAAAGCCAGCTGGGTTAGTTACAAAACAAAGAATTTTGGAGAGGATTCTTCCCTAATATTTACATTAATTTAAGAAAAATATGAACTTCTAGTCCACATAAATTTAAGGACCTTAATTGTATAATGCTGTAAGACTTTCAATGAAATGGACAGATCTGTGAAAATTAAAAGAACTGTGGGGGAAAAAATGTAAAGCAATCAGCTTTCTCCAGGTTAGGAGCCCTTGAAAATTTATTCTACTTGTTTTTACTTTTAAAAAATACGTGAAAATAAGTGGTTGTAATGAAAACAAAAGACCAGAAATTATTCTACTGTCAATATTTTGGGTTAATTAATTAGGACAGATGCTTTAACTACCAGTGAAATGTAAATATCAACAGGAGTTTCAAAAATATATATTTAGAATTTGAGTTTGAGGTTTATTTAAGTTGGAAATATCAGACATATCTTAAAAGATATTACTGGCAACATCTTGACAGGATTTGGTTCATGGAAAGAGGAACACTGGCAATTGGTGACATGTTTGCTT